TAACAAAGTTACAATGGATAACAGTATGTAGATAAAAAGAATAACAACAATTTTTCATGTTTCACCGTACACTTTGATATTTTTTGTGTAAGTTTATCATTTTATTTTATGGGTCGCTGGGCAGACTGTACAGAATTCGCGCCGCTGACTGCTATTCTGGGCTATATATCTCTGGATTTCTAATCAGCGACAATCCTCATACCTTGGGCCCCAAACTGGAAGGCGGGCTGCACCAACCAAAATCAAAGCTGAAGCTAACTTCTTCATGTCCCTATATCATGTCATGGTGTAACCGCCGTGACGTTTCTTTCAGCCTTATCTTGCACGTGCAAAGAAAGCACGGAAAGGTGGATAATAGAAAGGCATCCGCAAAACGTGACTAAGCCATCAGAGGCACTGTAGAGCGATTACTTCTTTTAGGGAACGATCATCCATGCCCATCCAACACAGGACGACGAACCTCGTCATTTCTCACCCGATGTTCCCACCAGACATGGGCAATGCTTCGAGACACCGGTGATCGAATGTAGGAAGTCGATTATCATCCGCAATGTAAACACAGAAGTCTGTTTATATAATGAGGCATTTATTCGCTGTAAATAATGAATAAACGCACTTAACTTCTCTGATGATCTAACCAATGTTTTGTTTTTCTAGCTGACATCAAAGGAAGATTCAGTTTTATGCCCATTTACTCAGTCCTGCTGCTGATTAATACTCCTCTCGCTTTTCAGGGGATCTTATCTTTCCGTGGACTCTGTGGTCAATACAACAACTGCACTGTCATCACCCGCAGACTCGTCAGAGCCCAATGATCCGGGCACTGTGATCATTCATGACTACCTGAACCATTTCATCGCTGGCGAGTTTCCCGTCCCTGGCATCATCTCACTAGTTGTCGAATGGGACGCGATCTATGCACTGTGCGAGGACCCGGAAGCATCTCAACGATACTCGGTGAGCTACACTGGTTAACTACTCAGTGAAAGGCCTCACATCTAAGTACCACATCAGTGTGTTATCCAGTTGGACTCGAACCCTGACACGTTTTAGACCAGTGATTCTAGGAGGGAATCAAAAAGGCCAATTTCTCATTTTAGCATTGAACGTGGTGATCCTGAATTTGAATCAGTTTCTATGAATCTGCTTGGTTCTGTAGATCACATTTTAATAAGTAAACGAATCGTCATTTTCCGTCTCGGAAGTAAATGAAATTCATATATTTCGAGATTCCCCTGAAGTCACTTTATTTTCTCTTAGAAGGTTTTTTAGGTTGGACAGTTTGTGGATCCTTATTTTACTCACTTTATCACGTGCTTTTACGTGAGTGTGTCTAGATCCTCGAGTAATAGGTATTATCAGAATACGAATAATGATAATGATAAGAATAACGGTAGTCACTCTCTAGTAATAAAATACGATGAAATGATCCCCAATCGTTGTCAAGGTCAAGGACTGTATACGAATGGGACCCTGATAGTTGGTGTGAATCCTGGGGGAAAGGAAAGAGTTCTGAGCCACTGAGATGAACTCGGCGTACACAACAAATCACGATCCGATTATGTATACCTCCGTTTCATCTGCTAAGAACTGTTTAGGCAAATATCACTACGGATTGTCATATCCTTTATCGGATCCTTTGCAAATGTGACCCGGTGGTTTGCTTTTAGTAACTCTTTCCGGTTGGAATCAGTCACATGATTCTTCCGGTTCGGTACGAACCTGATGGGTCTTCGGTGACGGCCTGTTTCGCGCACATGACGAGACTGCACCTTGACGTGGTGTGATGGCTTGTACACCTCTCTGACCCAACGAGTTACACAGGATGGCTTTTGTCAAGCCAGGAGATCTTATCATGCCTGGAAGATCAATGGGTAGAGGTCAGATGAAGTTCAGTCTTCTGGTCCTCCAGGTTGGGGGTTCGACTGGAATTTGCGTTGCAGTCGGTAAAAAAATGGTGGAGGGGTAATTGATCCAAGTAAATTGGCCCCCACTTCGCTTCACCCGCTGCCTTGCGGTCAGGTTCTTGTTAGAACTAAAGGCTTTGGACGAGAACCCGAATCGTTCTCCTGCTTAGTGCCTGGACACTCTAGCAGTACTCGTCCATCAAACCCCAATGTATACACGTATGCATGGTGAGTTTAGCAGAGATCAGTGAAGTTCGCCTCACTGTATTTCGCTGTAGGATGATGACGATGACGCACACACACATAACAGGTGATAATATGTAGGGAAGTTTATCCCATCCGTCATTTGTTGCAGCTCATGCTTAACCCTAGAAATCCTATATCTCAATAGCTCTGAAAAATTGTTTTCTAATGAAAAGCCATCGTCAACCTGTACCAAGTACCAGTTTACTTTCAGGGTTTTCACACACACACAAATTTATAAGAATGAGTCAAGTTAGGAAATGACAAACTAAAGCGAAGTGTCCGTGAACACCGGCAATTGAGCTGTGTTGACTCGTAGTCCATAGTTCGTATGCGTGAACCCTGTCACTACTCTCCAACTCATTGCTTGTTAACCTTCCGTCAATTGTAGCTCCCTTCTGCAATACTGATTGCAAGTTTAATGATTAACTGTATTTCTCAGTGAAGTAAAGTCAATCAATTGTTTTCTCTTAATTAAAAACTCTCTTTTTTAATGTACGGTTAATTGAATCACTATCTTCGCATTTCACCTGTTTGGACACAGAAGGTGAAGTAGCGGGAAAATGAACAATGAATTATGTCATCGATTTGAATACTGGTACACTGGTAATGGTGAACACTCGATCAATCTTATTGTTAGCAAAACAATTTCTTTATGGAACACTTAAATATTATCAACAACAAGGTGTCTCAGTGGTTCATAAAAACAGTGATGAATCTGATTCGATCATCTGTAAAACTTCGTAGTGTACAAGGCAAACGAAACGTGAACTGAAAATCTAAGATGTACCGCACAGCTGTTTCCCCCTCGTTGGATCTCATCCGCAGTGCGAACCTATCCGTCCGAATGTGGATCGAACCTAGCATCGCACAGGTGCAACACAATCCTACCACTCACGTGGTCACCCGTCAGTTGATCAGACCACTTTTTTCCAATTTGATCTGTATCATCAAATCAAATCCTCCCCTACTCTCGTGTAACAATAGTTAGGTTCGGAATATTTCTAACCGAGTCATAATCCTAAAAGCTGGTGCCGAGATGAGCCAGATACGGTGCCCGCAAACAAGATTGCAAAGATGTACTGCGTTATATTGTATACAGCTATTTGGTTTTCTAACGGGTAGTATGCGTGCCTTTTACTTGTGAAACCTGTTCTTGTTCTATCCTCGATCGCATTCAGGAATTCTCACCGCTGGTGAGATCCAATCAGATGAAAACAGCTGTCTGTCTGAATAGTCATAATAGACAGTCTGTGCAAAGTATCAGTATATTGTGCTCTGGGTACCATAAAACTTACAGCCTCTTAGAATGTTATTTAACAATGATGGAACACGGATTCCATTCGGAATAAATCTAGTTCAACTTTTCCGTCTCTCGTGTTTTCACCCCCTGTTTTCACCTTACAGCTCGTTTGTATCAGTGAGAAAAGTGCACAAGCCAAGTTGGAACTTCTCTTCTCAAAGAAAAATTTTCAATTGGCTCTCGAGTAAGTTCCGAATTGCTCTGCCATTTTTGTCTTTCATTGTTATCTCTTCTCCACCCCCCCCCACATTACCTCTCTCTGTTTTTGTGAAGACGATGGTGCTCAAGCGGTTTTGATCTTTGCCTAGGATCTGGGTTCAAAAGCTTTTTTCACCATCACTTCATTTTTGTGATAATTAGCTACGCCGTTGCTCCATCTATGCCTTCCCCTTCGGGAATCGTGTCTGGTCTCGAACGGACATTGGTAACTAGCATGCTCACTCAGTGAATCTGCCTGTTCTCGAGTTCACTCTATCAAACATGTTGACGAGATACGCAAAGCAATCCTCTATCAATTATAACCATATGCAAAGTTTCTTTTCTGAAATCACTTCCTTTCCGTGAATCGTTCACTTCTGTTCTCATGGTGGGTGTTATGTCAATTCCCATCGGAGAACGACCAAATTCTCTGAAACCATGCACTTGGTTATCTGATGGAAACACAAGCTAGCACGCCTTAACGTGACATTCCAAATACCAAATGACATATCGACATTGCATGATGAGTCACTCTAACCGTTTGTTGCCTAATCGCGCAAAGAAAGTAGTTATTTTTTATCTTCCAAAATTTACAGTTCACATCAAGTTTGTTCTCAGTGCAAGGTAATTGCAGTATCCGAAGCCTCAATTGTGCGTTGGGCCCACCTGGTATCCACGTGGTGACGGATATTCATACCGCGCGGAGAATCGAACTCAGATCAGCCGACACGGTTCGTCTCGTCAGGAGTAATCAGATTGACTGTCTTTCTGACGTGTCGCACACACATACACACACACACAGCCAATTGCTCGTGTGCTCCATTCTCAACAGCTTAGCGATCAAATAGTTGTTGCACTCTGATCTCACATTATTATCCATTTAGACTGGGAATTCGCCAATGGCGAGCTGATTTTTCCACTGGTTAAACTGTTCATCCAATCACTCCCCGGGTCCAACTTTCATTGGAAATGTTTGGTTTTGAACTTCACATCGGATTGACGTCCAGTGTGACGCGCAGAAAACGAACCCCCCCCCCAAGTCCAGGTAAATAGATCATAGAATAAGGAACATCAAGGAAAACAAAGTATTAAGAGGAGGAAAATCGACCAACCAGAACCACTCAGTCCCGGGGGTATTGTGTTGGTAATATGGATAGGGATTCGGTAATAGACATGAGTCAACAAGAGAGAACAGAGCTAAGCGATGTCGATAAAACGGTAAAACAAACGGTACGACACAATTAGCAATAAATTTGGTGCGGAATGAGTAATGTTTACTTGTATAGAAAAATGAGGTGGGGGGAGGTGGCACGAGTCACAA